TTTGAGATCATTGAGTCCAACCATACAAACGCACAAAAAACCCCCCAAAAAACCCAAAATCACAAAACACTACCCAACCCAACAATCTCTGGCACTAGAGCATGCCCTGAAGTGCCATGTCTACATGTTTCTTAAACAGCTCCAGGGATGGTGACTCCACCACCTCCCTGGGCAGGCTGTTCCAGTGCCTGAGCACCCTCTCAGCAAAGTCATTCTTCCCAATATCTGATCTAAACCTCCCCCGCCCCAACTTCAGACCATTTCCTCTGCTCCTGTTGTTATTCCCTTGGGAGAAGAGGCCAACCCCCACCTCTCTGCACCCTCCTTTCAGGGAGCTGTAGAGGGCAATGAGGTCTCCCCTCAGCCTCCTCTTCTCCAAACTAACCATGCCCAGTTCCCTCAGCCTCTCCTCATAGGACTTGTTCTCCAGACCCCTCCCCAGCTTGGTGGCTCTCCTCTGGACACGCTCCAGCCCTTCAATGTCCTTCTTGTAGTGAGGGGCCCAGAACTGAACACAGCCCTCGAGGTGACACCTCACCCACCCGGGGAGGTGGTCAGCCTCACTCGCTGCTGTTGCTCAAAACTTCTTGCTCGCTCTGCTGCTGAGGACCCCCACACCCACCCCCTCTTCTGCAGGTAGGGCAGCACAGGGTACCCAGGAAAACATTTATCTGGAACCAGTAAAAGACGACCTTCCCCTCACTCCATAAACCAGTCCTCAAACAATTGGAAAGGCATTTTTTTGGCAGTATCTCAGAGGGCATTTCACTGGGTCCACTCTTCACTTTCTCAAGAACATGTTTATCTGAGTTGATGCATCCAGAGTAAAGAGGAGGTATCTAAAACCTACCCCGACACTAACAGTCTCCTGTCCTCTTCAGACATCTATGTCAAACCAGCACTTGAGGATTTCAGTGTCAGCAGTTAAAGAGGGACATGGGCTTAAGCAGAAGTATCCACCTGCTCTGGGTCAAACCTCTCATTAAATACTTCTGCAGAGCAGGTTTTCAGGATCGAGTCCAAAGTCCATTCAAGCCAACAGAAATGAAGTCAAAAGAAACAAAACCTACTGCATGTAACGAGTGTGAGAACTCTAGACGTGGGACTATTCATGGAGCGAAGCCTCAATGACAAAGGGAAGAATCTGCCTTGAAGTGTCACAACTTAATTTCAGGTCTCCGGAACACCCTGTGCAAAACTCCCCATGCTCCTACAAGCTAAATTCGTGTGGATAGACATGAAGCAGCCATACATAGCAGAAAAATCACTATTCTGATCAAATACTCCATTACGACTAATCAGCAGCGAAGCCTGCAATAAGCTTATTAAGAAGAACTTGGCTCACTTTCCTACACATGCACAAGGAGAAATGTTTTCAGTATGAATATTTAATTCTCCCTTATTTTAACAGATGTTTTGCCATATTTCTACATCCCTCTTGCCAGCTCCTCTTACTGGTTACAATTCCATTAAGAATTGTGGCCAGTAGGCACTGGAGAAGGAAGAATGTACTGAAAACCATTCCACTGTCACTTGATTATTGTCCAGAGCTGGTATTTCTGTCTTCTATAGGGTGCTAAGTCACCTCTTCTCCAGAAGCACTTACTGAGAAGGTTATTACCCACAACAAATGAATGACACCCTCCTCTAAGATACCATGCATCTGCAGCACCGTGATTCACAGAAACAGAAGAGTCTGCTGGACTTGCTGCCCGAGGTTTGTCTTTACACATTGACCCGACTGCACAGAACCAAAAGTGTGATCTAACCCTACAGAGAGTGGGGGGACTCAAAGCCATATCTGTTGGATGTCACTCCACAGCAGTGTGATCCTCCACCTGAACACAGTTAGGCTGTCTGGGGATGCCCCCTATGGCTATTTGTCATGTGTTATGCATCAAAGAATCACAGAATGATACGGGGTTGGAAGGGACCTCTGGAGATCACCCAGTCCAACCCTCTGCCAGAGCAGGGCCACCCAGAGCAGGTCCCACAGGAATGTGTCCAGGCCAGTGTGAATGTCTCCAGAGAAGGAGACTCCACCACCTCCCTGGGCAGCCTCTGCCAGGGCTCTGCCACCCTCACAGCAAAGAAGTTTCTCCTCATGTTTAGGTGGAACTTCCCATGTTCAAGTTTGTGCCCGTTTCCTCTTGTCCTGTCCCTGGGCACCACTGAAAAAAGACCAGCCCCATCCTCCTGACACCCACCCTTGAAGTATTTATAAGCATTGCCCAGATCCCCCCCTCAGCCTTCTCTTCTCCAGACTAAAAAGACCCAAGTCCCTCAGCCTCTCCTCATAAGAGAGATGCTCCAGCCCTTCATCTTTTTAGCCCTCTCCAGCAGTCGCCTGTCCTTCTGGAACTGGGGAGCCCAGAACTGGTCCCAGTGCTCCAGATGGGGCCTCCCCAGGGCAGAGCAGAGGGGCAGGATAACCTCCATCTGCTGGTCATGCTCTTCTTGATGCCCCCCAGGATGCCATTGGCCTTCTTGGCCAGAAAGGCACCTTGCGGTCAGAAATCTATCACAAGAATCTGTGATAAAAAGGTTCATCTGTCCTGAGCACACAGGGGGAAGGTGGGAAAGCCCAAGGAGGTCTCTGACCAACACTCTGCCCCTTCAGGTGCCAGCACAAGGAGGGAGTTTGTGGCTTGAGCACCAAAAGCAGCTGAGCTTCACGCCAGCCCCTGAGCTCCCGCAGGCTCCAAGCGCCGACAGAACCGGCTCTGTGCCACCAACGGGGAAATGCCAGATCAAAGCTTCACTTATGCCCACACTGAAAGCCCTCCTGAACAACACTGCTCTTGTCACCAAGAGGTAAAGGCTCAGGCTTTCACTTCTGGAAGGGCCACGCACGCTCCCAGGCTATAAAAAGACAGATGTAAAATGTTTCTGAAGCAATGAGATTCACTATCAGGGTTTTCTCAGAAATAAATATATTCCAAGCAGAAAGCAAATATTTAGCAAGCCTTCAAAGAAACTCAGCTGCTTCTGCAGCTTGGATATGTGAACTGGAGATGCTGACGTACTATGAGAATAAAGCCAATTCCAGCTCTACTGACCAAGGGGCACACCTAAGGAATGCCTTTCCCATGCAAGTCAGCACCTCCCTCGTGCCCAGGATCTCCATGGGGATGCTTCCACACAGGTAGCACAGACACAGGAGAACAAAAATTACTTTATTCTGCACAACAGACGCACAGATCGAAAAGCTGAGTCCACACCCCCGATTTTTATCTTTTCTGTTGAATTTACAAGCGCAGACAACCCCTCTCGGTTTTCAAAGCTAAGGGTAACTCTGTATCTCTGGTGCTAGAAAACAGTCATAAGCTCCTGGCCTCAAATTTTATGTAAAAAAAAACAAACCAAAACCAAACCTAAATCAGAGATGGCTTCCTGCAGGGGAAGGGAACAAAGCCACATCTCCTGCATGCCCTTGCCCCCAGCTTTGGCCCCATGGAAGGGGATCCACTGGACTCAGCAGGACCAGCCACCCACGGGCAGAGGATTAGCAGAAGAAGGTTCAGCACCTGCCTGCAAAGACCCGCAGTTGGTCAGGGACAGATTTGTGGGATGAGAACCTGGCACCACAGGAACTGCAGCCAACTGCTGCTGCAGAACGTGCCAAGGGCAAGGGCTGAAAGGCCATTTCTCCGCAGCGGTTTCTGTGTTATAACAAATTTCAGGTCTCCCACAGCTCGGGCTGCGGCTGCCGCTTCTTGCGGTTGTGCTGTATCAAAATGCAGGAGGCAATAAGGAAAACAACCCCCAACCACCTTGGTGCACACCTGCACGCGTTGAGCATGCCAGCAGAGAACTAACTAGTAGTTTGGGCTGACAGACTTCAAGTCAGGAAAACCAGCCCTTCCCATAGCATTTTTTTGGAGGAGGAGGAAGAGAAGAACGAGCAGTTTTCTACCTTCTGTAGGTTCTTTTTAACTACAGCTGGGCAGGTCAGCTCCTGGTAAGAGCTCACACAAGGGAGAGCGTGTAGGTTCTGCCTCTTTGCTCAAACTGCAGCGTTTATGAGTAAAATCCCTTTTGAACCAAAACACATTTCTCATGCTCTTTGAGCATCAACCAGAAGGAAATGAATTCCACACAGTTATGGAAAAAGATATCTATTTTTTTCCTGAATTGCTTAACTTTCCATGGAGAGATGACATCTTTACAAGTCCAACCTTATGAAGCTTGGGTCCCCTACTGTCAAACCACCAGCGATCTCCAGCCTGAGCTGAGGACCAGGGCAAGAGCTGTAACAGGCACTTGTCCTCTGGGGCGAGCTGACACGAAGGGACCTGTCACACACTTTCACCAGAGAGCTTAGAGAAACTCCAAGATAAAAAACATTCCCATATTCCAAATCCCACTGATTTGCAAATAAGCTCTTAAGCACTTATATAATCTTGTGCTAAAAAGTGTTGGCTGCTGCAGTCAGAAATGTGCACACAGGAAAGACTTTTAAATCGTACTGCAAAGTAAACAGAAATAGCTACCGACTGCACTAGGAAATTTTGCCAAATCAGAAAAGGTTACATGTTAACTCGTGCCTCACATGAAGCGGGCATTTGCAATAGAACTTGGAAACCAAAGAAACACCGACTCTAAGGGGAAAGAAATATTAAAAATAATAAAACCTACAATTTCAAAGTTGGAGACCAATCTGAAAATGGCTTAGGTCAGAACAGGTAATTATGCAGTGATTATTTTGGCTTTGAATGCTGAACCTTTAAACACACCAACATTGTTGGCATTAGAAATGATACCATAACCCTGGGGTCTGCCATTAAAACGAAGAGCTCTTGTGCTCAGCACCACCCCCAGCACCACCCGGGCACTCAATGGCAGGGCACTCCACATCATCACTACCACTGAGCTCAGCAGCACCCATCAGCACCCAGCACCATTTCAGGTGTGCCTGGAAATAGAACTGGAAGACTGAGAGTTCAAAACAAGCACCAACAAGAATCTGCCCCCCCCTCCATAACCTCAGTTGTTGTTACCTGGTGTGTCGGATAACGGGAGAGGAATGAAAGGATCAGGCACAGTCAGAAGAGGAGGGCTACTGTCCAGACTCAGAATGTCTTTCGTTTTTTCAGCTGGTAACCAGGAAGAGAAAAGGCACAGTGAAACAGAGAGGACAGGAAAGCAGAAAGCATCCAGCGAAATCTCAGCACAGACACAGCTCAACATTTGAGAGCCAAAGCCAAGGCCTGACAAGAACACACACACACTCAGAACAAGTTTGTGTTGCTAGTGAAAAGAAAACCCACAAGTATTACCACATAGCTCTCCAACACAATTTAACACACAGATCTCAAAACATTCCTTGAAAGGGGAGTACTATTATCTTGCTTTACAGCAGCACAAAAGGTGAAAGGCCTTAACAAAGGGAAGGCAGGAGGCCAGCCCCCACGTGGGGCCTCTTTGTCTGAAATGAAAGATACAGCATCGTGCATCAGACAGGCTTAGGCGGGCTCATATCTAGAGGGAAAGAAAAGGGCTAGGAGTGCTCAGCTTAGTGCCAGCACTGAACTTCCAAGACACCTTCCTATGCCAAAGAGGACAGGAGAGTCAAGGGGTACATTTTAAAGACAACTACTGAAAGAACTGAATATGCTCCAGCGTCCAGAAAGCCCAGAACATGCAGATGCTTCCCAGGCTTTGCAGAAGGTACATTATAGCGGAATTTGGAGCTGCTGCTACTCAACATCACTCCACAAAGGCTGATGGAACATCATACACTGTCCACAGGGCACCAAACAGCTGGACAAACTCAGAAAGCAACTCCCTGGAGCTCTCTTCCATCATGGACTCCAACTCCTTCATTCTCAGGTAAGAGCCAACAATACTGAGCTCACTTATAAGCTCCTCTAAATCTCTTCTCAGAAATAAGCATAAACGGATTTGTCACTTCTTGCCCCACAAAGGATTCTTCAATCTTTTCTGAGGACTCCTCTCACCAATGGTTGGTGCTTCAGCGAGGAAGCATCAAATAGTTGCATTTGTCACGAGTAACAACAGCCGTGTAAGACAGGGGAGAGGATTACTTGCATTTTGGGCTCCTGGAAGCAGTTTCCCAGCACTATGCTTGGCAGCTCTTTCCTCTATTTGGTGAGAACCAATGCTGAAGAACTAGAGACAAGCAGCAGCACTCACTGAGTTATTTCAACACACATGGGGCTTCTCTCAGCAAAACCTTAGTACCCAAGTACCAAAGGAGACACCAGACAAGGTCACACATACAGAGGCCTCTACAAAAAACCTCCTTAGACCAGCCAAGGGCTCCTGGTCTCTGCAACCAGTGCAGAACACCTTGCCTTCACCATTTAACATGTCAATTATGAGACCAACTCTGCTCTCGTCTGAGGATTTTCCCCACTCTCTCCTGTCTCTGCTGCTCTCCTCATTCAGCGGTGGAGACTTTATTATCCCTGCTCCTCTCCTTCTCCACACAGCATAGCAACTGCAGGCAAAAAACATCCTCCAGCAAGTCTGATCAGTGCTTCCCAGTCCAATTCCCTTGTTGCATGCTACGTAATTTATTTCCAATTATGAGCTGCACGGAACTTCATCACGTTAAGAAGCTTTCTTGGGAACTTAAGGGGCTCACTTAGTTTCTTCTCTCACCAAAAGCCTCCTCTGCCTGTAGACGGTGTCTTCTGTCTCTACTACCTGCCTGTGACAAGTACACGTGCCTTCCCTTCTTCACTGAAGGGCCAAGCCCATCCTACAGTTGGTGCCAAGACCCAGCTCAATTTCTACCAGTTTTAACCTTCCTTTTATAGAGGCCATGACAGAGTTGCCATTTTTCTGCAGCGCTGTCCGGGGACATCCAGGATGTGTTCACAAACTCACCTGATCCAGCAGTGAAGGAAGAGCCACCAAACGCATCTGCCTGGGCCGCAGACGAAGCCGGCTGGAAACCTGGAATCAAGTTCTCTGTGGAACTGCCCATCTTTTCTGAAGCTTTCCCTGAAATGCCAGACAGAGGTTTAGGGGAAAGACTTCCACTCTGAAGGTCGCTTACTTACCTAGATTTTTAGGACACTATTTCAGTAAGCGGCTTAAGCCCCTTCCTGCAACTCAGAACTTGCAGATGAAGCAGAGTTTAAACTGTAGCTTCTACAACCAACTGATGAAGGCCACTTTAAAAGCAGTTAGTACCTTTGAGGATCATGCTCATTTAATTGCAATTGCTCAGCAAAGAGGACAGGGACTGAGAAGGGAAACTGGAAGGATTTAGCTCTTAGAGGTACAACAGGATCACCCCAGCAGCATCTGCCCGAGAGCATCATCATTCCACACCATCTCCCCTTGAGAGCAGGGGGTATTAAACCATTGGAGTGAACCTACCGTCACCCAGCTTTGCAAAGTCCTTGTTCAGCAGCTCCTCAGCTGTGAGCTTGGAGAAGTTATCATCATCAAAGGGATTCCACGTGGAGACATCGGGTGGGTTATAGACATTCTGCTGGGAGGTCCTTGGGGAACCCGAGGGTGTGGTGGAAGCAGATCTGGATGTGATCATCCCAACCAAACAACAGTCATTAATAATCCATCCAAAATCCTTTGGCCAGCACTAAGAGCAATTACTTCCTACTTAAAAAACTCAGCACAAATTATTGGAGTGCATGCCCAGAAACCTGGGACCAATTAGTCTCACCTACTCATAATCTAGTTGAACATCTTGGTGTCAGGAATTAAAACAAGCATCCTAAGCATCCCATTTCAAACAACCTTCTGCAGTGCCCAGGTGGAGGCCTCCTGTAGGCACTGCAAAAGTGCCCTGGCAAGTCCCCCTGGGGAAGCGCTGATGCTCAGCAGTGAGCATGAAGAGTGCACCAGGGCTACTGGTGAACATCTGAAGTGACACCAGCCTTTGTAACCCAGAGAAAGACCCTATCTGCTTTGCTTTTGGGGAGCATGGAAGCACTCAGGAGAACTTCTGCCCTTGGGGAAGTTTTTCCAACAACCTTCTGCCAAGCCCTAAACTGTGGTCTTGGGAAGGCACAGAGACCTCAGAGTTTGCTGCCTACCCTCATTTCAGAGCTCCTCGTAGGAAATCTCCAAAGAGCCTGATCTACCCCCTCCTCCCTCTATTCCCTTCGACACCAAGAGAGCAGTCACTTACTTGGACTTGTTGAGACTGGCCTCAGCAGCAGCTGCCTGCAGGAGCTGGGTAGACTTGCTGGCTGGAACCCCAAAAACCGCGCTGTGGGTCACGTCACTCAGAATCCTCCTGTGTCCCGCACGCTGCGTCTTGGGGGAGGATGGAGGGGTGAGAGAGCCCAGCTTCTGCCCCTGCACGGCCGCGGGGGGAGTGGTTTGAGGTTTTTGCTGTTGCCTCATTTGTGCCTGCACGTGGGAGAGAAAGTAAAATGATACATCCTTGTTCGTGAACAAGAGTCACGATGAAAAAATTACTATATTCTGGGGGATCTGACCTTCAAGTTATGGACTGGGGATAGTCTGAAGGGGAAAAAACAAACTAATTATGTGCAGGGGGAATTTGCTGCATTTCAAGATTAGTACATATGCAGAAGCAGAGACCTTCTCCCTTTTCTACAGTGCAGCTCCAGAGGCAAAGCCTCTATTAGCGCTTGTCGTTAAAGGCCAGCTGGTCTCAGAAACTTGCTCGTGGGTAAAGAGGCTGAGATCCAGGGCAGAGGCAAAAAAAAAAAAAAAAAAGAAGATCATAGTGTGCAGGACTCTTGTCATACGGACACATGGAGTGGGGGCAAGGTGAAGAGCAGAGATTCTTCCAGCTGATAAAATGTGATTGGGGCCAAATCCCTAAAGGAGCACAGGTCTTCTGTGGAAATCTTGTGCAAGAAGCTTTTTTAGCTTTCTTTTAGGGGGAGGGAAGGAGGAAAGCCAGGACCAGAGGAGCAGCAGTTGTCATTAAAACCTGGAGGAAAACCGAGGGGAGAGGCAAAAAAAAAAAAAAAAGAAAGCAGATCATAGTGTGCAGGACTCTTGTCATACGGACACATGGAGTGGGGGCAAGGTGAAGAGCAGAGATTCTTCCAGCTGATAAAATGTGATTGGGGCCAAATCCCTAAAGGAGCACAGGTCTTCTGTGGAAATCTTGTGCAAGAAGCTTTTTTAGCTTTCTTTTAGGGGGAGGGAAGGAGGAAAGCCAGGACCAGAGGAGCAGCAGTTGTCATTAAAACCTGGAGGAGAAAACCAGGCACATTCAGTTTAGGTGTAAGCCAAGACAGCCCAGCTACAAACCTTTCGGAAACTTCAAGGGGTTTCCTCAAACTGATCTTATTTTTCCATTACCTCAGTCTTGTGCTAAACTCCTAAACTCATAAATATTTTAAATACTGTTTTGTAGTGCTAAACAACAGTGTCCCTTCCAATTATGTGATTCTTTCAAAATCTGTCTGTCTGTGAGACACCACGGTTGGATTTAAAGCAGGAAAGTCAGGATGCAAAGAGCAGAGAACTGTGTGTGTCACCTCTGCTGCCTGGCCATGAGCTCCCTGTTCCCCACCCCGTGTCATCCCAGGCTGTTTTCAACCAAGGAAGACAGATATTCCTGCTGGGTAACAGAATGACAATGAGCCAGCAGTGGGCCCTTGTAGCCACAAAGGCCAGTAGCATCAGAAGAGTGTGACCAGGAGGTCAAGAGTGGTTGTCCTGCCCCTCTGCTCTGCCCTGGGGAGGCCCCAGCTGGAGCACTGGGACCAGTTCTGGGCTGCCCAGTTCCAGAAGGACAGGGAACTGCTGGAGAGGGGACAGCAGAGGCTACAAAGATGCTGAGGGGCCTGGAGCATCTCTCTTATGAGGAGAGGCTGAGGGACTTGGGTCTTTTTAGTCTGGGAAACAGAAGGCTGAGGGGGGATCTGATCAGCACCTATAAATACTTCAAGGGTGGGTGTCAGGAAGATGAGGTCGGTCTTTTTTCAGTGGTGCCCAGGGACAGGACAAGAGGGAATGGGCACAAACTTGAATATAAGAAGTTCCACCTAAACATGAGGAGGAACTTCTTCACTGTGAGGGTGGCAGAGCCCTGGAAGAGGCTGCCCAGAGAGGTGGTGGAGTCTCTTTCTCTGGAGACATTCAAACGCCCCCTGGACACGTTCCTGTGGGACCTGCTTTGTGAAGGGGGTTGGACTGGGTGATCTCCAGAGGTCCCTTCCAACCCCAGATCATTCTGTGATTCTGCGGTTAAAGACTTGCAGAGACCTAAGAGGGCAATGAGAAGAAAGTTATATCTGCAGTGTGGCGCTTGAGTACAGCAGGGCAAGGCAGACAAGGGGGCAGCTCTCTTGCTTTTCATCTGGTATTTTCAGGCAGACTAATTCACTGCAGCTGGGAAGCAAACGGACCTGGCTGCTTCTGCTGCACCCACCTTAGGTCTCACTATATAGGTCACTGCAGAACACTACGTTTGGTGCTGAGAAATAAAAGGGCAGTGCCGAAATCTCCACAGAAATGAATGCAGGGCTTATTAGGCAAAAATCTTGCATCGTGAAAGGTTTTGACAGGTCCTGGCTTGGCATCTTCTGCTCAGAGCCTTTGCTCTGCAGAGACCACATCTCACTATCATTTTTTACATAAGCCTGTGACTGCTTTTCCCCTCCTGACTGCTGCAGGAGCGGAAGAGTGTCCAGACGCGTCCATTCGAATCAGGTCTTCCGCAGGGATAAGGCTAATTTTCAATCCAGCTGATTTAATAAAATTAAGACTGTTTTTGTGCTAGTGAGGCACAGCAAAGCTCTTTAGAGATGCACTTCAACACTACATTTCAGGCATTTCTCCTCCAAAAGGAACAGGGCAATAACAGGTGCCATCCAAGACCTGTGCGCACGTATTGATGATCTCCCACCAATTTCAATGAACTGACTTGCCCCAGGTCATTCAGTAAATCAATAACAAGACCAGGAATAACAACAGCTCCAAGCTGTCACCAACCTTAACAATCAGCTTAGTGCTGAAAATTAATATAAAAGCAAAGGGGGTGAATGTGACAGAGCCTTGAGACACACCAGAGAGCAAAGCAAACAACGCTTCCCCAGCATTGCTCAGGTCACTGGCTTATGGAATTTATTAGTCAAGTTAATTCCTGATGTCACTTCAAAGGAAGCGTGCTCAAGAGATGAATTACATCCTGAATAACCAGCAACTCATGAACAAGGAAGCACAAACTGACCCTTAGTTGGAGTCAAATATTGTGTACCTGAAGTGGTTTGTTATCAGACACTGCATGCAGCCTGGGACAGCAAAGTAACAGGCAGCCCCCTCTTGCTCGGTGCCTGCACACACTTTCTTTCCAACACAACAGCTACAGTCAGGGACATCCCTTTGCGCTCCCGAAAACAAGCAAGAGGCAGTGGGATTGCACAGGAATGAAAGCAAAGGGCACAGCTTCTTCCCACATGTACTGCAGCAACACTTCGGCAACAGGGATCCTGCCCCTGGCACAGCTGCTCTGCCTCAAACACCGAGGACAGCCTGCTAGAGCCACCGAGCTGGGGAGGGGTCTGGAGAACAAGTCCTACAAGGAGAGGCTGAGGGAACTGGGCATGTTTAGTTTGGAGAAGAGGAGGCTGAGGGGGGACCTCATTGCCCTCTACAACTCCCTGAAAGGAGGGTGCAGAGAGGTGGGGGTTGGCCTCTTCTCCCAAGGGAATAACAACAGGAGCAGAGGAAATGGTCTGAAGTTGGGGCAGGGGAGGTTTAGATCAGATATTGGGAAGAATGACTTTGCTGAGAGGGTGGTCAGGCACTGGAACAGCCTGCCCAGGGAGGTGGTGGAGTCACCATCCCTGGAGGTATCTAAGAAACATGTAGACATGGCACTTCAGGGCATGCTCTAGTGCCCGGGATTGTTGGGTTGTGTCTGTTTCTGGGTGGGTTTTTTTGTTTTGTATTGCATTGGTGGCTTTTTTTTTTGTGGTTGGAGTCAATGATCTCAAAGGTCCCTTCCAACCATGAAGATTCTGTGACTATTTCCCTGCTGCACAGCCATAACTCTCCACAAAGAAAAGAGCATTTGTTTTAGATGCATGTTCAGATGATTAGTAAAGTGGATGTTTTATTTATTTATTTTTAGATACAGTACTTTGAGAAGTTTCCTTTCCGTAGTACTCATTAAAGAAAAATTATCCCAATGCCAGAAACAACTAGACTGCCTGCAGCCTCCTCTGCATCAGAGCCCTGAATAAAAGAGGGAAGTTTTCCAAACCAGCACCAACATGAAGTAGTTCTGTTGCCTGGTGCCCATCCTATTATGTTAAGTACAAATAACTTTTTAAAGAGTTTATCACCCATCTTCTGAGGCACCTTATCAGGGGAGGGATAGAGAGAGTTGCATTAAGCAGCTACTTATGTCTTCTTATGTGATGCTGAGGGACATGGTTTAGTGAAAACTTGGGAGTGCTGGGTTAATGGTTGGACTTGATCTTAAACATCTCTTCCAGCCAAAATGATTCCATGATTCTGTGATCTGCTTCCTGCTCATGATCTACTCATCTTCATTCTGTGGACCCAGAGCACAACTCCAGAGTACAGTAACCCATTGGAAAGAGCAATTCAAACAACTGCACATGTCTCTGAGACAGCAAGGTTAGTGCCAACATCCGCGACTCAGTAACAGGACGAGGGGTAACAGCTTTACCCTGAAAGAGGGGAGATGGAGCTGAGATGTGGGGAAGAACTTGTTTGGTGTGAGGGTGGTGAGAGCCTGGCCCAGGTTGCCCAGAGAAGCTGTGGCTGCCCCATCCCTGGAGGGGTTCAAGGCCAGGTTGGAGGGGGCTTGGAGCAACCTGGGCTGGTGGTCTGGTGGTGGGGGAACTGGATAATCTTGAAGGTCCCTTCTAACCCAAACCACTCTATGAAGCGCTAGGGGCCAGCAGGCCCTAGAGCATCTGTTACCTGGGCTCTGTGGGTCTGAGAAGCCAGTTGCCCTGCTGGGTGTTCCTGGCATGAAGGACTTGGCAGGAAGGCACTTGCTGGAATTCCTAATCCCACGGCCTCACTCCCTTCCCACAAGGCTCTTACCTGCTCCTGTGGCTGCGCTGGCTGAGCCGTGCTCGGCTGAGCCTGGGACGGCTGCGGTGGCACTGGGGTTTGTTGCTTTTGCTGAACTGCTGCTGCTGCTGTCTTCTGCTGCATTGCTGCCTGCTGGGCCATCATCTGCTGCTGCTGTTGCTGCTGCTGCTGGTAATAGTTCTGCATCATCTGCTGCTGCGCTGGCGCTCCTTGCTGCATCACTGGGAACTGGGAAACAAACCGGTTGTTGAGCCTCTTGCCACGCAGCTGGGACTGGGGTACCCCAACCAGAACTCAGGGCCAGCCTCAGGAAGGGTCACAGCAAAGGAGTGGTAGAAAATGGCCTTCTGGTCTAATGTTAGATCTCTTCTGCGGTACCTCTGCCCATACAGGGGCTCCCACAGCATAGACAGTCCCCATGGTCCCAGTCTCCTTTCTCCATTTTATGAGTTCTAGACCTTTCCCCAGGATAGGAAGATTTACTGTCCCTTTGCTTCCACTGTTAAATACGCTTTAGCAGACCTGTGCTGCTATAAACACCTCGGTTACACGCACAAGTCTGTCAGCTCAACACACCCCATCTAACACATCATGTGTTCACAGGGCTCCCCATCACCACTGTCTACCACAAACCCAGACCTGAACCTCACTGCTGAAAAGGTGTGCCAGGCTTCCTGGATCACAGAAAGCAGAAGAGGAATTGTACCCCTCTGCTCATCAGCTGAGCATTGACCTCAAGACCCTGCAACACTTGGGAGCTGTGAAATCTTAACCAGCACTGCTTATTTTAGTTTTGTCAAGTACAAACATATCTCAAGGCCTTCCACACTGACAGTTAAAAATGCCAGCCTTGCACAGCAAAAATTCTTGCTAGAGAACTGGAGGCACATTGGAAAATGCCTAAAAAAAAAAATGCATCTACCCCCGCAAAAAGCAGAGGACTTGCCACAGATGCAAAGAGAGGGCCTTGCAGGCCTCTAGCACAGGAAGCATGCGACACACACAGTCACACACCTACCTGCTGAGCTTGCATCATCTGCTGCTGCTGCTGGTAATACGCAGCCTGTTGCTGCTGCTGCTGCTGTTGCAGAAGCTGCTGCTTCAAGAAAAGCTGCTGTTGGTGCTGAGGCGTGGCTTGTGGCTGAGTAGAAGGGACCTGGGGCTGTGCCTGCGAGGGCTGCTGCGGAGCCGGCGCCTGCTTGGCTTGAGGCTGTGCCGGAGTCTGCTGAGGGGCTGCTTTTTGCTGGGGGACACTGGCAGGGAGTGAAGGCTGCCCACTGCCCAGGGCAGCAGGTCCTGCAACTGGGAGGAAAAAACACAATACAGACCCATCAGACCAACAGCCCTGAGGTACAGAGAGCTCAATGGGAGTGCACTGCACAGGGAACGCTGTTTCACCTTGTGGCTGAATGGCTGCTTGAGCAGTGGGTCTCTTCCTGGGCGTCAGGGCTGGCTGAATGGGTAAAATCCCAGGGTTGGGCTGTGTCTGTCCTGCTTTAGGTCTCTGGCGGGGTGCTATGGAAGTTTCTGTTGTAGGGATGGGATCTGTCAGCCTATAAAATAAGGTAAGGAATAAAAGGAAGAGCAGTAAGAACAGAGTCTTTGACAGCCAGAGAGTTGGTGCGTGCAACACGCAGGAGGGGTTTAAAAACTCATCCATACTTTATAAGTCTTGTACTGCTAAAGGTGAGACACTCGTGTGCGTCCGTACACACACGCTGGCTCTTCCCAGAAAACTGCAAGTACAGTAAAACTTAATGGGTGCATCCACAGCAATTAACCCAGCTCTATCATTTTGACTTCTTTGCCAATTGTGGCATGTTCTCCCATTGGACAGCTGGAATTTGTCAAAATCACTCAACTCATTCAAATATTTACTGCAACATATTGTTTAAATCCGCTTAAAGTGCTGGATGAGCAGATGAAGGACATAACAAATTAGCTTAAGAGCAGCTGGTACCTTTGGGCAGAGTTGTCTAAGTTGCCATCTTTAGAAGTGCCTTAACTTTAGTACATCTACCCCAGAATCAGGTCATTGGACCTCTTCTGATCTCTGCTCAGTATCTACTGAGCTCCAAAAATGCACAGCAACAGAGCCAGGAAGCCAGACACCACCCTGCCCTTCTGCAGATACATCTGCTTGTTAGATATCAAGTTGTTCTACTTCAGCAAGGGTAACTGCACTCAATTATAACAACAAACAAAGCAGACTCCTGGGACTGACAGACAGAAGGACAGATGTCCTATTTCAGAGTCTGGAGAAAACCGCTGGCTTTGGAGTGCCCGCTGCTGTACTGCTCACCTCTTCACTGCAGTAGAATAAGGTACAACAGAGTTTACAAGTCTCCATTCTGGTATCATAAGCAGAGAAAGCAGCAGGAGGAGAAACACCACAGCAGTACAGTGGTTTCCCCACTAATTGGGTTCTTCAGATGGAGACTGCTTGGGCTTTCGTGTGTGTGTGTGTCCCGAAGAAATTACAGGACTCTTGCAGAAATCACAGCAATTTCATACAGTAATTACTGGGTCGGGTTATCATCTGCCAAGGGTGAAACTCAAACAGCAGCAGTCCCCAGTGCAGTTTCTCAGCAGACTCGCATTCTCTGGGCCCGTTCCAGGAGAGCTGCAGTCCTTCCTGCCTCGGCCCTCGGGCACTCCGGGTACTGCCCCGGGATGGATGACACAGGAAATTCATCCAAGTGCATGGACTTTTAAGTGCTGCAGTCAAGCAGCGTCCTCAGTACAAAAAGCCTGGCTGTTGAGTCATGCCAACTATCACCCAAGTCCCACACCCTCCTGCTGCAGAAAAACTTCCCCTAATACCTGCATTTTCTGTCTTTCAGATCAATGGCTATTTATGCCGTCAAAGCAGAAGCCTCAGGACTGCAGTGTTTGTCTCCATGTGTAAATGTAAGCCCAAAAGCTAAATATACCAAGCATCTTTCGTAATAAACAGCAGAAACACAACAGACAACAAAGAGAGAGGGCTGAGCATAACGCAGATGTGGTTACCTGGCCTTTGGCTGACTCTTCTTTGCAGCAGCTTCACTTGCTTTAATGGGGTCTGGGAGTTTAGCGGGGATCGGAGAGTTCTGCAGATCCCAAAAACATCACGTTTTGTATTTTGAGAGCAGAAAACAAAGCCAGAGTAATATTTTTCAAAAGCATTTCAATGAAATGGGAAGACTGGGAGATGGCCAAAACAATTACACCTCATGCTGGACACAGGACAAAGCGCCCAATGTTCATGTCATGAGGAGACAGCGGTTTGGGAGAGTCTTTACCAGGGAAAAAACACAGTTCAGCTTTTTGACCATTTACTACAGGTGGGATCTGAACACAAAGCTTCATAGCACAACCTGGGTATTTTTAAGACAACCTGGGGACAACAGCAGCAATACTTATTAATGCTGCTATAAAAAATACAGGCCTAATCATACCAAACCATGTCTTTTTCATAAAGAACATGAAAAAGAGGTTTCTTTTTACCTGGCAGTAACAAAATAAAATGTCATAACACCACAAGAAAATACTTGTCAACTCAATTTTCAATTGAGGTCTATAAGGATACACTAAGAAAGGGCAGATGGTGGTGTGAGGCCTGGGGTAGTTGAGCTGTAGAGCCGGCTCGTCCCGGCCAGACGGCAGACACAAAACCACTACGTTTCAAACCAACTACAAATTACACACGGTGGGATGGATGTGCCTGGAAATCAAATCGGTTTCACAAGCACGGCCTGATTTTCCATGTTCACATGCACAAGATCTCACGGTTGGCCTCACACTGGGAACTGGGTGAGGAGGTAAATCAGGGACAAACAGAAGCAAAGGAGGTATGAGACAAACCCCTGATTGCTGACCCTACCCCCAAAGGGAAAAAAAAACAACCAAAACACCAGACCTTCCTAATTAATTACAGAACTGGAGAACCACTGACAGACTACAGCAGAACACCCATTATTCCCCAGTTGTCACTCCTAAGTTCTCCTCCCACAAAGCCCTACATCAGCCCGCTCCTTTGCCACTCACCTGGACGTTCTGGACTGGGCACTCCTTCTTTGCCAGTTTGAATGCGAAGTAGGAGACCTGATAAATATCGGGTCTCTTATCAGGGTCTGGCTCAAGCATATACCCTATAAAAGACAGAGACACTGGCATCAGAGCAATGGAACAGAGAGACTCACATGAGGTGTTTGTGGCAGAGCTCCAGCTGGTACCACCAGGTGCCCACAGGGTGCCCTGCCTTTTCCAAACACCCAGTTGGCTCTTGGGCAGGGCTGAGCTCATCATCGGGGGCAAGACAGAGTCAGGAGGGACTGGGAGGTATTTTCCAGTACAGCCACGAACAATTTGTAGCTGCTATCGATCAAAGGTTCTGGGGCAAGGAGGGAGAAGGCAGCCTGCCCAGTCATAGACTGGTTTTGACTTCTGTGTTTCCAAATGAACCTGCAGGAAAAGAGCTCGATCCACCCCCGGTGTGTCAGTGGGGCAGAGGGACAGGCCAGCCACACACACCGCTGCACAGACACCACCACAGCAGGAAAGAAAACACCAGGCTGCTCTGCAAACACATCCAACTCTGTTAGTCAAGATTGTGGCTGGGAAATTAAAAAAAAAAAACCAAACAAAAAGCAACAAAAAAATATCAAATGCTGTGCTGCAAACAAGAGAGCTGTCCCAGCATTGCCAAGAGTAGTGGCATTGTACCCTTAATTACACATTCACTCTAGTCAGTGGGTTATTTATAAATCATTTCAGTTCTGTTTCTCAATTCACAGAAGATGAATTCTTATCGCCAGTCTAAGCCACTGTGGTTCTTTTCAGTTCCTTATCCAAATAGATTTATTAGTGGAGAAATACGTTTCTGCATAAATAGGCTTATTGTGCAAGTTTCTGTAGGACTCTTAAACCAAATGGTTGTCTGTTTTCCTGCCTTTCCACAGAGTCCACTACAGCCCAGCCAAACAGAAACCTCTTCATCATCACTTCTTTGGAAGAGTGATCTCCTAAGCTACTAAAAGATCACTTCATCCACCCCTATGTGCAAGCAAATCTCTAAAAAGAAGAGAAACACCAACCACTTTACTGTAGGAGCAGGGATAGAAGAACAAAACACGTCTACTATTATTTTAGTTCCGTGGAAGTAGATGACACCAGTGTCAAACACTCACGGATGAGGCAGTGCATGTCTTGTGAGTGCCGAGAGTTATCAGGGATGGTGAAGTTGCCATCACAGATTGCCACCTGGCTCTCCCCAAACGGCAAGGTGAAGTAGCACAGCTTGTACAGCAAACAGCCCAGGGCCTGGGGAGAGAGAACAGGGCAAACCGATTCCGATTTAGCAAACAGAAGCCAAACAGGGAACGGTACAATTCAAATATCACTGGGGGTAACAGGGGAAGGGCTCTGGCTTGTCCTACTCGAGGGGTCCCGCACAACATCAGGCCTGTGACTGACAAAAACACAGCTCTGTGGGGAGATAAATACATGAAAAGCTCTCCCTTTTAACGCTGAGATACTGTAATCTGGGGGGTTGTGTGAGTATCATCATCAGTTCCCCCCCCCAACTCCACACAGCACTGCACCCAGCGTAACCCTCCACATCATTAAACAGGCAAAGCCTGCTTCCTCCACAGCTGGCAGGAAAAAGCAAAGTAATAGCAAAAATAAATGGTAACTATCATCCTTAACACATTTATTTTGACAAAAAAACCCCAAACTGTTTCCAAGCTTAATTTCAAACAGCCTTTCAACCGTTTATAAATATGTACCCGGGAGAGATATACAAATAAGTCTGCAGGCTGCCAGGTTATATCACCCTTCCATCTAGTTCTGTGCTGCTTTTGACAGCAAGAACCACCACCTATTTCAAAAGAAAATACAATTTTTGGACAAAGGGCTAATTATGAAACACTCCCACCATCTCAGAGGGGAGAGGGGGAGACATTTCCTAATCCTGAGCAACTCATCGTCAGCTTACATCTTTTGCCACAGGATTTCACAATTAAATTGCACTCTGGTTTAAGATAACCTCAATGAGATTTGAGGAAGGGGAGGTTACAAGCGGGACAAGCGCTGCAAGAGGCCCTGAAGTGGAGCCCCATGCTGGGAAGGAGAATGCCCTTCCAGCCTTCGGGTCCAGCCTTTCCACATCATCAGGGGAAGGAGTGCAAATCCCAGGTTCTCCTCTACCTGCCTTTGAGGCCCCATGAGTCTTTTCATGCTGTCACAGCTGTGACTTTCTCTCTCCAGGTTTGGCACACCAAGGTGAGTAGGGGGCTGGTTCTACAAACCCTCTGCTGAACTCGGCAATGCGAGAGCCCCACAGGAGCTTCTGCATCACTGAGGGTGAGCAGAGCTCAGGACAGAGGACTCCTCGCAGCAGATGTCACACCAGCAATTTTCCCTCTTGTATATGCAGATTCAGAGCTATCAAGAATACATTAAAACTCTCCTTATACTGCTTCTGCCTTGTTACTTCCTAGCTCAGGGCTTCATGAACCATACAAACACGCTCCGAATTAGCATTTTAAACACATCCCATTTGCTGAGTTGCCACTACACTACAAACAGCACCGAGCTTTTTTCATCCCCATCCCAACTAAAGGGAAGCCTTCCATCCTCCACCGGGTTCTCAGTAACTGGTTACACCGCAGTTGCATTTCGCTCTCAATACAAGACACGTGGCAAGATCCCACCGATCGTTAGAAACTGCAGTGCAAAAGCGTGGTCTTTGGCCAGCTTTGACTACTCCAACCTGTGTGATGTTGCCCAGGACAAGCACACTGTTGTTCCTGTTGGAAGGTCTATTATCCGTTTTCTACTGAATTCTGAGCAGTAACTTTGATTTGCCATGCTTGCAACACGACCCAGGCACAAGACGTCACAATACTCTGAAGTTTCTGTTTTAACTCTTAAGATATGAGAAGAGGTTTGCACTGTTCAACCCTAGAATTTCATACATCTTTAAATTAAAACCACATGGGAGGCAGCATGCAAAGAAGCATGTTTTATCCCCAAGCCACCCTGCTCAGCAGTAACTCATCAGAAATGTCAAGGAGAGAAACTCTTTATTCGGAAACTGTCCAGTCTCTTATGGAAACTGGGTTAGCCCCAGCCAGAAAGTCCCCTTGTCACCATGGCAATGAAAGCAAGCTGCAGTCTGGTTGTAGGATGGGAAATGGTTCTGATACGTACCCATATGTCTGCTTTTGTAGTAATGAGTTTGCCACTATAGAGGTTGACCATTTCTGGTGCTCTATACGATAACGTAGTGTATCTGTAGCAGAAAGATCTATCAGTGAGTTTGAAATCAGATGCATTTTCATAACATCACATTTCCAAATAATTCAAAATTCACTCTTTTCCACTTCATTTCAGAAGACAATCTATTGGAAAAAGTCTTCTAACAGCAGCTACACACCTCTAACAATAAAATATTACCCACTGCAAAGTGCTCTGTGAAACCAAAGCAGTATCACAAAATGATACGGGGTTGGCAGGGACCTCTGGAGATCACCCAGTCCAACCCCCTGCCAGAGCAGGGCCACCCAGAGCAGGTCCCACAGGAACATTGCCAGGGGGGTTCTGAATGTCTCCAGAGAAGGAGACTCCACCACCTCCCTGGGCAGCCTCTTCCAGGACTGTCACCCTCACAGGAAAGAAGTTCCTCCTCATGTTTAGGTGGAACCTCCCATGTTCAAGCATGTACCTGTTCCCTCTTGTCCTGTCCCTGGGCACCACTGAAAAAAGACCGACCTCATCCTCCTGACACCCACCCTTGAAGTATTTATAGGTGTTGATCAGGTCCCCCCTCAGCCTTCTCTTCTCCAGACCAGAAAGACCCAAGTCCCTCAGTCTCTCCTCATAAGGGAGATGTTCCAGGCCCCTCAGCATCTTTGTAGCCTCTGCTGTCCCCTCTCCAGCAGTTCCCTGTCCTTCTGGATCTGGGGAGGCCAGAACTGGTCCCAGTGCTCCAGATGGGGCCTCCCCAGGGTAGAGCAGAGGGAGAGGACAACCTCCCAAGGAACCAAGATCCCTTCTAAAGCAAGCAATTTACTCACAAAACAGTACAGTCATTTTAAGAACTAGAACAGAAATAGTCAAGGATTCAGAGCAGTAACAAGGTCAGTAGTCAAATTCCCTCCACAATGTCCTCGCTGCTGGGGCTTTGGCCAATTGCATTACAAGATTTTAACCGGATACGTGGCTCCTAATAAATGGAGTTTACATCAGGACTCCTGCTCAGAGACACTGTCAACAAAGGAAAGGTTATTTCATCTCTCAAACTATAGCCAGAATCTGCCTCATCATAACAAATCACTACAAATAGAAAAACTGGAAAGTGGGGCACAGTTTAAGAGACTCTTATGATAAGATTTCTTATCAGTAGGTCTGTGGTTTCTGCTCTGGAATCTCACATGCTATTTACCCTGAGCATAAGAAAGCATTGCTAAAGGCAAAGTTTTTGTAGGCTTGTTAATAAGTGTACAAAAAGGGCATTCCAAAGGGACTGTGCACTAACAACTTCAGTCAAACAAGTCTAGGAAATCCACGCGGGCATAACTGAATCCTAACAAAAAGGAGGCATTTTGCACCCACTTCTTACATGCTGTTTTCTGACCAGAATATTGTAATAACAGAATTGGAAAGTTTGCAGAAGTGATGTTGTTAAAACTGCAGCAAGAGCAAGCACATGGAGTCTGCTCCATTCCTGATGTAGGTCCTACTGAATCGTAGAATCGTCCAGGTTGGAAGGGACCTTTAAGATCGAGTCCAACCACCAATCTAACTCTGATAAAAACCATCACTAAACCATGTCTCTAAGCACCAAGTCTGCCTGTCTTTTAAATCCCTCCAGGGATGGTGCCTCAACCACTGCCCTGGAAAGCCCACTCCAAGGCTTGATAGCCCTTCCAGTGTCAAAATTGTTCCTAATATCCAATCTGAACCTGCCCTGGCACAACTTGAGGCCATTTCCTCTTGTCCCATCACCTGTTCCTTGGGAGAAGAGACCAACCCCCCCTGGCTACACCCTCCTTTCAGGGAGTTGGAGAGAGCCAGAAGGTCTCCCCTCAGCCTCCTTTTCTCCAGGCTGAACACCCCCAGCTCCCTCAGCCTCTCCTCACAAGACTTGTGCTCCAGACCCCTCACCAGCTCCACTGCCCTTCTCTGGCCCCGCTCCAGCAGAACTGCCAGCTACATCCCTCGGTAAAAGCATTAAGGTGCACCTCGTTGCTACCACTGCAGCTGGTGATGCACAGGGCAGGAGGAGGAGCCATTAAACACCTCAAGGTCCTTACATTTTCTGTGAAGAGCTGAGAAGTTAGGGCCATGCATTCCCTTAGTCACTGCAAGGATTTATGAGAAGTGGCTCGTGGAGGACAGGGGCTTTGTCATCTGCTGTATTGCAGCGCAAAGAAACCAAAGACAGATGAGGGTCAGAGACAGTCTGATCCCATACAGAACACAGCACGTCACTACCTCAGCAAGGTGGGCAACTTCTCTGCATTAGTACACTCCCATCTTTCAGGTCCAGAGCAATTACATCAAGCTCAATTTATTGTTTCACCTTCCCCCAGGTGCTTATTTACCTCCAGCAGACACTTCTATGCAGCAGCACCCAATCTGCTGCAACAGGCCTGAGGAAAATTTAGTCCCAACACAAGAAAAAAAAATTACCCTTCAAATATGTACCGTGTCCAAGTTGAAAAGGAAAAGCACACTTACTTTTTGATCTCCTCCTCTACTGCGTTCACCCCTTCTGTCTGAGGGTTCTGGAATTTGTTAGTAGCACTTCCAAAGTCACACAGGACATAGTGGCCACGGTCGTGCAGCAGGATGTTTTCAACCTACAAGCATCACAGACAAATACAGAATCACTCAGACAAAGAAACATTCGTTTTCTTTAGATGAGCCGGGGGTTTTAGTGCCTGAAGACAGACAAGACACATCTGACATAAAAGCATAACATGACAGCAAAGAAAATAAGCATCAAAACTCTGTCATATCTCCTAAAATAGAAGTCAAATCATGGAAGTGTAGTTGTAATGCTGCAACCCTGCAACCTCCCCTTCCTCCTCCTGCCAGCACATCACCTTGCCTCTCCTGAGGCTACCTCTGGCTGTCCCTGAGCTACAAGAACTGTCCCCTGATGTCCTTAGTGCTCAACTTCCCTGAGCTGCTGTGACCCACAGTCTGGCAGCTGAATTTGGGACAGCTGATACAAGCTGCCCACAGCTTTATGAAGGGCTATAACCCCTCGCTGTCTGGTGGGGCAGAGAGGCAGCAAACTGATGCCAGCACACGTGCTTCTATACTTGATGAAATTACAATACATCTCCAGTTCCTTGCCTGCATTTTACCTGTCATTTAGAGTCTCATTCAAACAAGCCTCAGCTTATGCTCACTCTTCAATTGCCTGTTATCAGAATATTTGGGTACCCCATATTCCCTAGACAGTGGTTCTATCAGCAGAGGTTCCTCCAGGCTGCTGAGATGACAACCCCTTTCTTTCAAATATTATTTGGTAGATTGAATCAGAGAACTGAAACAAATGCCCAAACGCACACCTGGGATAGCTGAAAATAAATAAATAAAATGAGCAGAATCACTGCCTTTCCCCTAAATACTCACACTTAATCATGAATTAACAAAAATCTAGCTATGTCTACTTACAAAAGCTGTCTAAATGGTACACCACCAACATAAGATGTGGGAAAACCTGGGTTCAGTTCTTTGCTTTCACAGAGCATCCCTGTATTCCAGTTCCTCACCTGTCCAGTGACATCAACAGCATGTTCTCTCAAGGGAATGCACCCAATTTTAAATGTATTTATCTTCAATGTCAAATGCTCAGATACAGTAACAAGGCAAAACATTCTGCTCATATATTAAAAAAAAAAACACACCACATAAGCATTCGCTAACAAAACCTTTGGAAGTAGATCTCCCCATTGAGGATGATCTTTACAAGAAGGAATGAAAAAAAGGAGTCAGCATTTTAAGCATCAGAAAACACAGCCAAATTAGAGCAGCTGAGGAGGGAAATGCTGGCTTGAAACCAAGGGTTAAACACCACCCCTTCCCCCTCTGCTATCCATCTGCTTTGAATAAAGCATTGCACACAGATGTTCTCCCTCACAGATCAACACTGACAGCATTATTCCCTATTCCCTGCAAATACTCATCAAACATTTCCAGAAGAATCCTTCCTCTTTAGCTGGCTGAGCAGTCTGATGTGACTTCTCACTGAAACATTCTGCAAGTTATATTAAATCTCAGCACCAGACCGTCCAGCAACCAGGCTTGTTCAGTAACTTCCAGGAGAAAAAAAAGAAAAAACCCAACCAAACAGCAAACCAAAGTACCAGAACTACTGCTGCCGACTGCCAGGCCAGAGGACACTGTCTTAAAAAGAGTATGGAGGTGTCTTCTTCCAAGTCAAACACTGGGAACACTGAACTCCAGCCTCCAGCCCTGCTGAGAGCTTGCAGTCTCCGACATGCCCAACACTTACAGTCACATGCAGACCCCAAACAAAAACATTTAAGGGAAACTATGAGTTGCCTTAAGTTGTGTCACAGAACACAGCTAAGCTTCTCTGTTCTCCAAAACAAATGCCTTTTTCTGCTAAAAGCTTAAGTGGTAAAAACAGTGCATAGACACATATTGAGGGATAAGGAATAAGGCTTTAACTAGCAAAATCAACACACGTTATCCTCTTGTGACAGCAACAGCATCCAAGGCCGGCATTTTTAAGTTCAGGTAGTGATTTGGGAGGGACAGAGGACCAATGCACACTTTCTGCCTGCTTCCCAACGCCCCCAGAGCTCTTCAGAGACCTTTCAGCTTCCCCTCCTCCCCTGACAACATCCACCATTCACTTCAGAAAACTTGTATAGCATTTCACAGCAAAGAAATTAATGGAATGTGCCATCTAAGAGGACAAACTGATTTTGGCACAGGCATATTCTTAACATGGTGGATACAAGGGTTTAACATTAGAGGACAATTTTACGTATCACCCTCTGAACACAGAGCCATCCAAACAAATTCCAGGCAAAAGCTTGTTGCTGGCATCACAGCAAGACTTGGCATTACAGAGGGTGATGGAAGGCAGAGAGGTAACAGCAGCACATCTTATCACAGCACAGAGAAGTGCAAAGCTAGGAGGACTCCTGCTAAAATGACAGCAGAAGAAACCAAATCCTTAACGTGAGAGCACAAGCTTCTGGTTATTTCAGAAAATAGTGAAAGGGAAGGATAAAGATATCTCGATCAACAACATCCTCTGGGTTGACTGACAGTATTTTGCTGTATCCTGCTGTGTGACCGCTACAAGAAAAATGAGCTGCTCCTCTGCAAGCCAGTCCTCTGCTCCTGGGACCAGAGGGGTTCAGACTAGCAGAGGTATCACAGGTATAAGTGGGAGACCTCCGAGCCACAGAAATCAAAGTTGGCTCTAAACTGGTGCTTTGAACAACAAGAGTTATGGGATGTGAGACTAGAAAGACAAGGTCAAACATAAACCAAGTTGTGCTAACAAGTGCCACTAGGTATAGGGCAGTTGTGTAAATTGTTCTCGTCAGCCATAGACAGATTTTTCCCCTCCCTCCATCTCACTAAACCCTGCTCCTCCAGGGTCTGGCAGTTCCAGTTTCTCTGCATAGACTCCAACTTCAAAGCAGAGACTTCACAGCCAGGCTGAAAGAACAGGTAGCCATAAGAAGATTTTGCCATTTCTTCTTCACTGTTAAAAGGCCTAACCTAAAGATACAGGAAGTGGTTTTATTCCAAAGGAAACAGAACAAAAATAAACTTTTTAGGGAATGCCCTGCAGCAGCAATGGCCTACGAATCCTGAGGGTGGGGAAAATACCTGCAAGAACAAGTCAAGATAACCACACAGAGCAAGCCTCCTGCCAGCAGGTCACACCACCTCTGCAGGGCCCAAACCACACGAGGGGCTTCCTAAGTTATAGGAAAAAGCAGTATCAATACAGGCCTGGTTTGGGGCAGTCAATCAAAACACATGAAATGTCACATCACACCCTGTGCAGTCTGTTGTTCTGCTGGAAGCACATGGGGACAGACTGACACAGCTCCTGAGTGCCACCAGATCAGGAAGGAAAACCTTAATAAGCAAACTCCGAGACGACACGCTATCTTTTTCACGGTCTTTACCTGCAGTCAAATGCCCACTTTTTCCTACAGGCACGCTGCTTAAAAGGTGCTGTTGTCCCCAGCTGTTGGTCCCTTCCCACCAGTTGGGAGATTGTGTCAACAGGAGGTTGTGCTGCTTCAGGCAAAGCCTGTTGGGTTAACTCAAAAATCACACCCGCAGGCTGCCGAAGCCAATCCAGCTGCATTTGTCTGAAAGGACTTAAAAGATTATTCACACGATCCCTTCTGCTGGCAGAGGTCTCTGGGCAGGAACCTCCAGCATCAGAGCAACATCAAAGAGCTGGAAGGTAAAAAAAAAAAGCCTCCGGTCTCCATGCAGCTGTCTGCAAAGTCAACATCTGCTCACTCTTCAATAGGGTTATGTTCACCCCACCAGAACACCTACCCGATGGATGCCTTTTCTGACACTCAGAACTTGTACAAAACATTTCTGGACCTTAATCTTTCTTGGAATTGTTCTGGAATTGCAGCTCCCCCTTGGCATTTTTAAATTTGAACTCAAAGTCAAAACATATCTAAATCCTTCATTCTGTGTTAGTACTTAGATCTTCAAATGTGACCAGAGCTCCGGAGGTCATCTGGACAGAAATAATACAATATTCAACAGGGAACCATGTCTCAAAGCAGAGAAGAGCAAACTCTCTGACTTCAGGCAAAGCTTAACAACCAAGAGCCAGGCTTTGCAAACTTTATGGATCTAAGCACACAGAGCAGCCAGAGAGTCCACCCTGAGAGTCCACTTCAATTGCAGCTCCGTGTAGAGAGTAACACTAAAGATCAACTCACTAATCCAGCACAGATGTCCCAGAATTTATTCACATGCCACACAATGAATTTGTTCTTTATTAAAAACCCCAGGGATTCATCTAAAAAGGTAACAGCAGTAGTTAACATCAGTTGCAGAGGTTCCTGTTCCTAAGCCTCATCCTCTCACCCCAGTTTTCCTTGCTGCGTGATTCCCACAGACCTTTACAGCTTTAAATCCAGGCCTCAAATTTCTAAGACTCCATAAAACATGGTACAGCATCCCAAACCCATGGTACAGCCTACCAAACCCTGAGGATTATTTCCCCTGCACTACCTGGCTCTCGTTGGCACATAGGGCCAAAATTGTGTTGACTCAACTGGCTCAAAATTGTGTTGTCTCCTACAAAACAATGGCCAGTGGCACAAAGCAAACATCTGCTGAGGGCCCTGAAAACAGAACCTGACCCACAAAGCACATCTGAATTTCAAATGTACACAGGAACCTCTTTCTTGGCTGAATATATTATTCAGGCATTTTACAAGCTAGTTGAGAGGAAAGGGAACGTCTTTTCATTTGCTTGTTTGTTTATAGGCATGGGATTTTTCAAAAGCTCCCCCCATGGCCTACCTCTGCTCCCAACTAAGCACACACAGTTTTACAATGCGCTTTCATGGTCAACAGAGAGTTAGAGGCCAGTTTCAAAAGCTTCTAAAGACTCCTGCCCCAAGGCCAACATCTCTGGAAGGACCCTTTTAATGTGGATCCAGGAAACAAGTTTACAACACGCTTTTTCTGAACTACCTTAAAACATCAGTAGTGTTTCAGGTGGTAGAAAGTCACTGTGAATAATTCATCAGATACGTCCTGGCACATCTCCTGCGCAAAACGGAATTATTCACAAACATTTATGTTTTTTAAGTAGATCTGTAGATGGTAAACATATGGTAACCAGCAATGAGAGGCTCATTTCTTTTTTTATCTTCCAATAGAGAGAGGTATTTACGCCACTCTTCCTCATTACTAACAACAGAAACACAGGACCAGTACACAGAGCCTGTCTGCCGCGGCGTGGGCAGCAAACAGACACGTAGAGGAAGCCCACTCCCTGCTGTGCTACTGGAGTCCACAACTCACCTTCAAATCCCTGTGGATTATTGGTGTTTTACACTGATGCAACCTGGCTACGGCTTCGCAGGTGTCACAGAAGATCTGCAGGACCTCATTCTCCGTGAAACCCGTCTGCAGACGCTGGTTCATGAGGTTCACAACTTGACCTCCTGAGGAGAAACAGGCACCAAGAATCAGAGCAGGAACACAAGATGAGGTCTGGCCTGGTCTAAGCCGCAGTCCTACCAGACAGAACCTGCCTTCACAGAATCACAGAGTGATATAGGGCTGAAGTGGACCTCTGGAGATTACCCAGTCCAATCCCCTTCACAAAGCAGGTCCACCCAGAGCAGGTCCCACAGGAATGTGTCCAGGTCAGTTTGAATGTCTCCAGAGAAGACAACTCCACCACCGCTCTGGGCAGCCTCTTCGAGGGCGCTGGCTCTGCCACCCTCACAGTGAAGAAGTTCCTCCTCATGTTTAGGTGGAACTTCTTATGTTCAAGTGTGCACCCATTACCCCTTGTCCTGTCACTGGGCACCACTGAAAAAAAGACCAGCCCCATCCTCCTGACACCCACCCTTGAAATATTTATAAGCATTGATCGGTTCCCCCTCAGCCTTCTCTTCTCCACACTAAAAAGACCCAAGTCCCTCAGCCTCTCCTCATAAGGGAGATGCTCCAGGCCCCTCATCATCTTTGCAGCCCTTTGCTGTCCCCTCTCCAGCAGTTCCCTGTCCTTCTGGAACTGGGGAGCCCTGAACTGGTCCCAGTGCTCCAGGTGGGGCCTCCCCAGGGCAGAGGGGCAGGATAACCCCTCTCCACCTGCTGGCCATGCTCTTCCTGATGCCCCCCAGGATGCCATTGGCCTTCTTGGTCACAAGGGCCTATTGCTGCCTCATGGGCATCCTGGTATCCAGGACTCCCAGGTCTTTCTCCTCAGAGCTGCTCTCCAGCAGGTCACTCCCAGCCTGTCCTGGTGCAGGGGGTTATTCCTCCCCAGGTGCAGCACCCTACACTTGACCTTGTTGAAGTTCATCAGGTTCCTCTCTGCCCAGCTCTCCAGCCTGTCCCGATCTTGCTAGATGGTGTCACAGCCTCCTGGTGTCTCAGTCAACCCTCCCATGTTTGCCTTAGCCTGCTCCCCATCAAACTCTGGCCGCACAGCCAACGCACAGGGAGTTCACAAGTTCAAATTCAAAATTCACACCAAGCCCTCCCCAGAGGCGTTTGCAATCTGCTTATTCATTTTGTTTCGTTCTCATTTCCTCACCTAAATCCCAGGGGGGGTGTGTATCTGCCGGTAGACATTTCGTCTCAGCTTGTCTTTGAGCAACACTTCAAGAGCGGCAAGTTTGCTCCTAAGGCCCACACTCCCCTGGCCGTATCCGCACTCAAACGCAATTCTGACTGAGCTGCATCTTTTCCTTTCTTCTTCAAAATAAGACATTTTTGGCAGACTAGAGGAACAAAAGGCTGAATTTGGGGCACCCACAGTCCACAAAATAGTTTGCCATGTGTAAGCCAGAGGAGGGAGAAACAGAGACACTCAAAAAACCCATACACAACTAAGTGGCATGGCTGAAGCCAGACTGGCAAAAAAAATAAAAATCGATCTGTAAGAAGGGAAACTCCAGACAAACAAAAGCAGGTTTTCATGAATGAGTCCTGAGTTTGCCTCAGCTTTGAGGTTTTCCTGCTGTCAAGGCCTTTCCAAGACAATCCACACAGCGGTTCTTCCCCCTGTCAAAACACCCTACATGCACTGAGAGAAATCTTTCTGAACCTGTGGCAAAGGAAAACCGTGTCACTTCACAAGCATCAGAAAACTTTATTCTCGTGCTACAAAAGAAAAGTTCAGCTCAATAAGTAGTGCAGCTGTGAACATTTCACACTCAAAGCTAGTGCAGTTCTGCACACAAATACACACTGTGTCTTCGGAAAGTTTTGACACAAATGGAAAGTACCAAGGGGAAATCCAGCCCGTAACAGCAACTCCTCTGCTTTGCTCCGAGGGATGGAGACAGAGGCAGAGCACCTGGCAAAAGCAAGGCACGTGAGAAACACTACCTTACAGCTCTCCTCCCTTCAGATGGAAGGAAACACCTTAGAAAGACGGATTTTACTTCATCAGCCCAAAGCTTGGCCCAGAGGGGAGGCTCGTGCAGCGGGAGGGAGGGCTTTCTGAGTTGCTACGGTTTGCTCTTCCCTCCGCAGTGGGGTCAGCAACACAGAGTAGGGACTGACTAACACTGCCCGGCCTGTTTCTCAGAACACTCCTTGTGATACTCAGGTTTAAGCTTACAGAGAGCTTACATAATGATTCCTTCAACAAAACTACACATAGGGATCTTCCTTTTCCCAGCAACCAAACCCAGCACAAGTCAGACAAGATTCCTGCATCAACAGAGAGCAGCAAAGAGGGCACAGCACCACAGAAAGCCATACCATAAATGTTTAGCATCTTGCTACAACGCACCTGGCTCCACTTAAAAGCCCAACAGTCCCAAGAATACCTATTTCCATCAGCTGTCACCATCCGAAACAGCCACAGACTTCTGAAGTCACCTGGCCAAAACATTATTTTCGCTTAACGCTATTCCTGTGAGAGGCATTTGAGCACAGCACATGCATCATTTTCCAAACACTACATCCCAGCCACAAGAGATCAAAGGTTTGGAACAGCTGGAAAAGCCTGGAAGAACCTGTCTGGCTAGAGACAGCCAAGCAAAAAGGTCAGAGGTAAAAGGAATATTTTTTGGCTTCACATTATCCATTTCAAGCTTCTTCCAGAACAATCCTAAATCAGGCTGAAGTGGAAAAAGCTTGCAATATGACATAAAGTGAAGAAGAATTTCATTCCACACCCTGGCAGCTTTAGAAGAGCCACTTCTTGTGCGGAGCAGCCTGCAGAAAACAGCAATGTGTTGTTCTCCACAACAGAAAGGGTCTAGAACCACCATGGGCAGGGGTAAAGGTGGTACCAGTCCCATTAACAGGGTCAACATAGCCTTACATACCATCCACAGCACAGGAAGTACATGGACCTGTTGGAACAGGTCCATAGGAGGCCACAAAGATGATCCAAGGGCTGTGAGGGGGGGCTGAGAGAGTTGGGGGGGTTCAGCCTGGAGAAGAGAAGGCTCCAGGGAGACCTTCGAGCCCCTTCCAGTCCCTCAAGGGGCTCCAGGAAAGCTGGGGAGGGACTCCTGATCAGGGAGGGGAGCAACAGGACAAGGGGGAAGGGTTTAACACTGAAAGAGGGGAGATGGAGCTGAGATGTGGGGAAGAACTTGTTTGGTGTGAGGGTGGTGAGAGCCTGGCCCAGGTTGGCCAGAGAAGCTGTGGCTGCCCCATCCCTGGAGGGGTTCAAGGGCAGGTTGGAGGGGGCTTAGAGCAACCTGGGCTGGTGTTCCTGCCCAGGGCAGGGGACAGCACTGCATGCGCTTTAAAGTCTCTTCCAACCTAAACCATTCTGTGATTTTATGATCCACTTCTCCACACCTAGTTTTGGCTTTGCTTTGTTCAGAACGGTTCCTTGGTAGCCAAGAAAGCTCCAGGTGTAGGAGCAGGTTTAGTTTTTTTAAAGGAAGATATTGTGCAAGTTTCCTGTAAGCACCAAAACCAGAGAAATCCACCAAGAACCAATACGTTGAGCCCACACTCACCTCGACAGAAGTCCATTAGTATCAGCACTTCCCAGACGTCACCGCTGCTCACTGAGTTTATACTGGAATCGATGTACCCAACAATGTTTTTGTGGCCAGATAGATCCCGCTGTAAGAAAAATAAATTCAAAGCATAAACCATCCATACAGAGTAGGCAACATTTTAATCTGGTTCCTCTACACTAAACAGCTTTCCTAGTTCTTCTCCTGACTGGGCGCAAGCTTCTGTCACTTCAGATTAATCCTCACACAAAACCTGAACAAACCTGAGATCTGTCTCTACCCAATTTCCTTCCAGAAGGATTTGAGACAAACAGCAGAGAAACAGCCAACCTGATGAATTAACTTGTTCAGGGATCAGGCCAGGTTTCTGATATTGCCCTAGATGGCCCAGGTCAAGTTCCCTGGAACAGCTTCTCCTTTACGTAGAGGGGAGAAGGCAGATGGTTTGTGGTGGCCATGCACAGTACGTGTTGTGCTGAATTTCATCCTCTCCTTCCACTCTTCTGCTGACAAACAGTATCTCAAATCTTTGCATGCTCAAAAACACCCACTAAGGTAATAAAATAAATTTTAACCTTGCTTTTAGAAGTATCATAAGTAACTCGATGGATTAAAGCACAAGTTCTCATATCAATGACTTTCCATGACACATGCTAAACCTGCAGGGAAAAGTATTTTCTTTAGGACTGCAGCTTCACACACGCTCCCACGTGTGACAGCCAGTCCAGTGCCATGGTCAGTTCACGAGTAAAAGAAATCAAGATTCTGCTGTAATGTTGTAAGGTGCAAAAACTGCAGTGAAGTGTACTTCTTTATTGCACAACAGCTGGGAAAGAAGAAAGTATTCCCTTTTAGGGATATACTGGTTCTTCAAGACAAAGATTTGTGCTTCTGATAAGACTCAGTGCAGGAGCAAGTGGACCTGCTGAGTAAGAAGGAAAGTTCTCACTCTCACTTTCCAGGTCAGCCACACGTTTCAAGGAGGCACCAAAGCCACGGGGACAATGGGAAGCGCTGGCAAGTAAAGCCCAAGTAAACAAGCTTTATGAGCACAGCTAAAACCTTTGATGTAAGATCTGATCTCAGCTTTTCCCATGTAGCATTAGCTATGGTGATGACAAAGCATGCCCAAAAGCTTCGCTGCGCTATCGCACAAACTCCAGAAGTTAACTTTAAAGGTATTAACCTAATTAAAAGCTTCTTCAAAAAGCACACTCAGAATTGCTACAGGTAAGAGCTTCTCATACAAAGATCATCTACCCCACACCTGCACCTCATGTTGTAAATTAGTAGAATGAGGATTTCCTTTCTCACCTCACAGTTGCTCTAAATATTCATCAATATCTTTCAATACAACTTGAAAAGTGGCACTTTCCACCTTCACCAGGCTCCAAGCAACACTAAGCAGATCTATTTGGATTATCTCAAATATTTTTTTTTAGAGACACCAAGTTTAAAAGCGTTACTAAAAATAGCTATCCTATCACATAACTCCTTGTATCCAATATTCTAGAAAAACATCCCAGGGCTTATTATAAACACTTCCCTGTTTCAAAACCCCAGAAAGTAACTGCCCCACAAATACCATTTTTCATCTATCAACCACAGAAACACAGAGATAACCTGCACAGGCTGGAGAGCTGGGCAGAGAAAAACCTAATGAGGTTCAACAAGGGCAAGTGTAGGGTCCTGCACCTGGGGAGGAAGAACCCCAGGCACCAATACAGTTAGGGGTGGACCTGATGGAAAACAGTTCTGAGGAGAAGGATCTGGGGGTACCTCTACTATCTGGGGTAGATAACAAACTATCCATGAGCCAGCAATGGGCCCTTGTCACCAAGAGGCCAATGGAGTCCTGGGCTGCGTAGGGAAGAGTGTGGCCAGGAGGTGGAGGGAGGTCATTCTCCCCCTCTGCTCTGCACTGGGGAGGCCACAACTGGAATCCTGCATCCAGTTCTGGGCTCCCCAGTTCAAGAGAGACAGGGAACTGCTGGAGAGAGTCCAGCACAGGGCAACAGAGATGAAGAAGGGATTGGAGCATCTCCCTGGTGAGGAAAGGCTGAGAGAGCTGGGGCTCTTGAGCCTGGAGAGGAGAAGGCTGAGGGGAGAGCTTCTTCATGCTTCCAAATCTCTAAAGGGTGGGTTGAAGGAAGATGGAGCCAGACTCGTTTCAGAGGCTCCCAGTGACAGGATGAGGGGCAACGGGCACAAGTTGGAACATGGGAAGTTCCAGTCAAATATGAGGGAGAACTACTTTCTGGTGAGGGTGGCAGAGCCCTGGCAGAGGCTGCCCAGGGAGGGTGTGGAGTCCCCTTCTCTGGAGATCTTCAAGCTCTGCCTGGATGCTCCTCAGTGATGTGCTCTGGGCAGCCCTGCTTTGGCAGGGGAGTTGGACTGGATGGTCTCTAGAGGTCCCTTCCAACTCTGACAATTTTGTGATTCCATGAACCTTCATCCCAATACAAAAGATCAGAAGCTGTTGTGATACAAATTCATCTCGGCATGAAGGTCTGCCATTCATGCACTGATTTGAGTTCAGAGAAAGTTACATCAGAATCATCAGCCTTTTCTGATGGGGTCTAAAAGGCAGAAGACTTCAGCCCTGAACTGCAGATTGTTACCCCATGAAGCCAAACAACCCCAACCACGCTCACCTCTTCAGCTCTTCCTTTTCCCATTAAGTTGTGGGGTTGACATAGGAATCTTTTTCTCCTCTCATTTCCTTGAGACCCCCCTCTCTGCTTTTTCGGCCCCAGTATTTGTCTTGTCCACAGAAACCTTTTAAATTTTAAATAATTCAATAGGAGATATTCACACAGCTGCATAACTCCAGGAGTTAGGGGTTTCCAAAAGACAGACAGTTTTGCTAAGAAAACCCACAGTTCACCACATGATGCTACACAGATCCCAGGCAGTAGGTGACTGGGCTCTTGCACCATTCCACTCCCAGTCTGGGGCCCCAGTATAAAGTGGTGACTTACCATGATTTGGATTTCTCTTTTGCAGACTTGCAAGTCATACTCGTTATTGACGTACATACGCTTCAGGGCACATTTCATCCCATTGTTAGTCCTCACGAGAAACACTATCGCAAATCCACCTGCAGAAGACATAAAATCATTTTATTCGTTAAGAAATAAACTTCTTGGTCCCTGCTCCCAACCCTGTCCCTGCCTCCATCAGCCTTCAGAGCACAGTGGGAAAGGGGGGCACTCAGCAGCTCCCAACAGAGCCGTGGTGGGAGCACCCCTCACGTGTCCTTCGCTCCAGAGCTTCCAACTCTGCCTGGACAGTTATTTCTGGGAACTAAAGGGAATCCAAGGGGGCAAATCTTTACTTAGTGGAAGCAAAGTTAACATTTAACGTCTCCTCAAAATCAAGCGATTACACCGGTTACTTGCCCGGCCAGACAGCCCTTCGTTGTTCCACAAATTTCCAATATGAAGAAGAAAGCTGAAGTATGAACAGCAACGTTGCCTTGGACAGAAAGAAGAGCTACAGAACATCCACTGAATTACCAAAGGCCTAAACTTAGAAAGCTTGCCAACTTTTGAAGCATCGAAGTTACATTGCAAAGCTGATTTGTGCAAGAAGCTGCAGAAGAAACCAATCTCCCACACATGGTTTGATGTTAGTGCTTTCAAAAAAAGGACAGAAGAAGAAGGGAAAAAGCCCCAGCACAATTCACTAACAGCAATGACCACAAAGTAAAGTCAGGACTCCCAGAACATACTTTTGACTTGTTGAAGATGAAAGACTTTAATCTCTGTTAGCAATGCATCAAAATACATGGGGTTTACATTTCTAGTCCTGGTCAGAAATAGGAAGCTGTTGAGGCTGAAGGTATGTATATATATATATATGTATTTTTATATATATAGGCATCAAAGTTCAGCACCTGGCTCACAGAGATCAGGGTGTATCAGAACAGAGAGTTGCAAGCCTCCACATAGCCAAGAAGTGCTCCACGATGGTAAAAAGGGGAGTGCAATGACACTGTTGACGTCACAACAAACAGCACTACATTTGCTCTCTGCTACTTTACATTACAGCAGATCTTTCTTTTATGCTTAAGGATTTCTAAAGAATCAGCCCAATAGTAAGTTACGATTCGGTGCTGCCGAAGTCCCACGACCCCAAAAGCTGTAGTTACACACCATAAAAAGCCAGTCACATCCCAAAGAATTCTCATTGTAAAAGTCCGAGCCCTTTGGTGTATCTCATTCCTTACAGGCTGCCAGAAACCACAGGAACAAGAATACACAAATAGTTACATTTGACATGTTTGTACATAATTATTACTACTGGTTATTTGGCACCTAAATGAATTCCTCTCCATCACACAAAATGTGACAAAACAGACACATTTCGGCAAAATTTAGTGTTAAAATAGGTAGCATTTGACAACCCCAGTCTTGCAACAACTGGTGCTTAAAAGCTGTTAAGAAATCAAATCCCACAGCCAAAAGGCCCACTACAGCTTTTACTAAAACTGGGATTTATTGTTACTAAGAGAAGGCTGAAAAAGAGCAAATGACCAGACAACACATCTGTGTTCAAAGTGTAACTTTGTCAATAACACCAAGGTGTGTGGTGCAGTCCACACGGTGTAGGGAAGGGCTGCCATCCAGAGGGATGTGGACAGGCTGGAGAGGTGGCCTGTGTGAACCTCATGAAGTTCAACCAGGACAAGCACAAGGTCCTGCACCCGGGTCATGGCAATCCCAGGCACAAATCCAGGCTGGGCAGAGAATGGCTGGAGAGCAGCCCTGAGGAGAAGGACTTGGGGGAGTTGGTGGGTGAGGAGGAACCCATGGAGATGCTGGGAGTGCTGGAGCCCCTCTGCTGGGAGGGGGGGCTGAGAGAGTTGGGGGGGTTCAGCCTGGAGAAGAGAAGGCTCCGGGGAGAGCTTGGAGCCCCTTCCAGTCCCTCAAGGGGCTCCAGGAGAGATGGGGAGGGACTCTGGATGAGGGAGGGGAGCCCTAGGAGGAGGGGGAAGGGTTTGACCCTAAAAGAGGGGAGATGGAGCTGAGATGTGGGGAAGAACTTGTTTGGTGTGAGGGTGGTGAGAGCCTGGCCCAGGTTGGCCAGAGAAGCTGTGGCTGCCCCATCCCTGGAGGGGTTGAAGGGCAGGTTGGAGGGGGCTTGGAGCAACCTGGGCTGGTGGGAGGCGTCCCTGCCCAGGGCAGGGAGTGGCACTGCATGCGCTTTAAAGTCCCTTCCATCCTAAACCATTCTAACCCTCCTCATTTGTTATCAAACCACATTTATGGCACCCATTACAGCCCATCTTCCTACAGAGGGGTTACACATGCAAATAACACGCCTGTCAGCATCCGAGCTGTTCAATAAAAATCTCTCTGAGCAGGTAAATCCCTTCGTTCTACACATCATAGTTTGCCAGAGGAACTACACCCACTGGGTGCTCCAAGGAAGCGCCATTGACTTTTAGGAGCAGAGCTAATGGGCAGTAGCCTGAAAGCAGTTGCAAAAGATGCAGTAGAAAGAAAGAAAAAAAAAAGAAAATAAAGTATCAAGACTTCAATTAAAGGTCTTAAAAACTATAAACAGGCTGCAGAATAAATATTCAAATTTGGAAAACCGGGACACGGCCCCAGGATAGAGCAAGCCATTTGGATGCTGCTCACTCCTGCCAGAAAGAGTTTTAAAACCCTCCTCGTTCTGGAGGGCCTCTTTTCTTCACAGTGCTCAGACTCAGACACAAAAATAACCCGGACTCTCTCCCTTCAACTGCTTCGTGTTGAGGATCTCAAATTACAAGTCATTTTAAAGAACTCCTGAACCCACAGCGGCCGCCTCATTGTTCTACCCCGGCCACAGTTGTCTCATTTCTGGGGAACAAATCTACACATCCCGCTGTGGGATCTTTAGCCCAAAGAATGTCTGTGCTGAAAAAAAAGCAAGACAGAGCCCTACTTTCCCCACCACCCTCCTCATAACCCACAATGGAACCAGTAAGAAATAAGGGACCCATAACCAGCACCGCTTCTCCAGTCCCTATTTTCTTACCACATTGTGCTTCTTAAAGTCATAGGAAAGATCAAGTTTCAACTTAAATTTCTGTACAATATTTCCATAGACCAAATTCTAAAGAAAATGTTAAACAACAAAAATTTTATTTTATTTCATTTTTTTTTATTACCAAGTCCCAGCCATCATCCAAACTTTTTGGGAATCACAAGACTTCCCCCCCACCAACCCCAATGAGAAAATCAGAAGTGGTCCCTCAGAAGCCTCCCCTCCTCTCCAGGGGTTGTTCCCTTCCCACAGCTCCTCCTGGCAGGACACAGCAGCTCTGTTCACAGCACTGTGCTCAGCAGAAACAAACACGAGCTGAGCAGCAAAAATAGATCAATTAAAACTTTTTTTTTTTAAAAAAAAAGCAGGCCCACTAAATTCAAGGACCTTCTTCTAAGTCTCTGCTTCAGCTGAAGTGGGACTGGGACCTCTTCCGACCAACTGCTAATGCCTCATTAGCAAAGTTTTGGGCAAGGTACCTTTCCTCTCATCTGATCTTATATTAATTAACAAAGTCACTCCTTGAGCACCCTAGCTAGAATATGTACATCATGCTATTTTGCTTATAAGCAACCAGGGCCAACTGGCAAAGAAAACTACAGTCTATGCAATGGAGAACATCACTAAACCATCCCAAGAGCTCAACGGAAAGAGGAAATTTAGAAGCCAAAAAAAAAAATTAAGTCAATGCTTTCTGATACAGGACTGCAGCATCATCACAGTGAGCTGACAGAAACATGGCCCATCTTCCAAACAGAGCAGCAAGAGACAGAAACACCAGACTGAGCCACACATCCAAGGAAGAGGAAACTGCGACATCTGCAGAGTTGTCACAGGAAGATGACATCCTCATGTCCTCCTCTCTTACCTTTAACGCCTGCAAATTTCAGCTGACACCACCACACATGGCAGCTGTGCAAAACCATTTAACTTATTTTGTCTGCAAATACACCTACCAATTGGTTACTTTATTATTCAGCTCCCACTGACTGCAGACTAAAGCATGGCAATTTAGCTACGAGAGCAGCGTGCTGTCCTCCAGAGAAAACAAGAATTGATTTCATCAGGGTCCGCACAGCAACTTTGACACAGCAATCTACAATAAGCGACTTTGCCATCAGAGAAGCAAAATTTGATGATCCACATCCATTTGAGAAAGAGTTGCAAAGCTTTACTTTCTAAACAGCTAACACATCACCCGCTCCGATTGCCTCAGTTAAAACAGACCTCAATATTCCTTCCAAATCACAGTTCACTGAACCCAGGTTTTGACTCTACCCAGGATTTAGTCCAGAAAGGCACAACATAACCAAGAATGCCTACCTTCCCTCGGGCAGTCATTCCATATTTAAATCAGAATAGGTGTGAAAAATGCCACCCTAATTTGAATTTCTCTGCATTTATTACACCTTCCACTGCTAATTGGATTCAGTGCTCCCAGTTCCGCATGCAGCCAAGGGGACTGCGAAACGCTCGGTGAAACTGCGGGATGAGGGAAGCAGAAAGGGATAGACGAAGAGCACGAATCACGGAATTGTCAGGGTTGGAAGGGACCTCTAGAGACCATCCAGTCCAACTCCCCTGCCAAAGCAGGGCTGCCCAGAGCACATCACTCAGGAGCATCCAGGCAGAGCTTGAAGATCTCCAGAGAAGGGGACTCCACACCCTCCCTGGGCAGCCTCTGCCAGGGCTCTGCCACCCTCACCCCAAACAAGTTCTTCCTCACATTTGACTGGAACTGCCCATGTTCCAACTTGTGCCCGTTGCCCCTCATCCTGTCCCTGGGAACCACGGAAAAGAGTCCGGCTCCATCTTCCTTCAACCCACCCTTAGATACTTGTCAGCATTAATAAGGTCTCCCCTCAGCCTTCTCTTCTCCAGGCTCAAGAGCCCCAGCTCTCTCAGCCTTTCCTCACCAGGGAGATGCTCCAGTCCCTCCATCTTCTCTGTTGCCCTGTGCTGGACTCTCTCCAGCAGTTCCCTGTCTCTCTTGAACTGGGGAGCCCAGAACTGGATGCAGGATTCCAGTTGTGGCCTCCCCAGTGCAAAGCAGAGGGGGAG